GGAGTTCAGACGTGTGCTCTTCCGATCTGGCTAAGCGCGATCTGATTGATTAACTTTATTCGTTAATAACTCTGTAAATAATGGTCTGAGCCAAAATTGAAAGAGGAACTTTTAGTTCAAAATTTCATTCTCTTTCACGTCTTGAAATATTAATTAAGCGTTACGGGACACCCTGTATACAACTAATTGTAAATCATCGTGGATGTGATGGCTGAATACAGTGCTTTAAGCAGCAAATCGAGCTAAATTCCTTGCATTGGTCAGAATGCAAGGAAGTAGGCATGAAAATCATGCATTGTGTGATTCTAGCTTTTATTAAAAAATTTTTTCAAGTTGCGTGTAAAATATTTATAGTAATAATATAATCCAAGAAATATATACACGTACAAATATTGCATCATCATTTAAAATGTTTCTTTTCGCAACTGTTGCAATTAATATGGTGCAATATATATAACATTGAAATTAAAAGTATTTCTTCATTAAAAATCACGATACTATTAAATCGATTAACGTATATAGCAAGAAAATAGAATTATATAAATTAATTATTAAATCTTGTATTTTTTTCCTTTATTAATAAAATATTATAAGTACGCACACAACAAGATAAATTTTAAAAGATTACAATCATTTTGTGCGGTAAAATTAAATTCGTTCATAAATTAGAATAAAATAACTCTTTCTATCTTCGTACGAAGAAATCGATGCGGGACATCTTCATTCATTGAAACCAAAAGACTTAATGAAATCGCTAGCGTTTTTTTCCGAGAACGAAGATAGAAACTACCCCGTGCGTGGGTGCATTGTTCCAAGATTTGTGCGCGAGTCCTGAATCCAGGAACCTCATTGCGTATGTAGGACAGTCAGTCGAGCTTCAAATCAAGACAAATCGTTTCTCACCGACGATCGTGATTGGTCTCCGGAGGGGGTGGCGAGAAGAAGCGAAAGACAATAAGATAGAAAAACAACGTCGGCGTTCTCAACAACACGACTCTCATTCCGCCACTATAAAACCCCCAAGGATCGCTGTCGTGTCCGACATTATTCTGTTACGGAGTCTCGAGGAACGACGTATCCGAGATGATCGTCACCGGGAATCCCGTTAGCCGCGCAGCTGCCTTCTGCATCCTGGCCATGCTGCTCTGCTTGGGGTCTCGCGCTTCCGGTGAATACGGTAATAACAACTTTTTGTGATGTAATTAGAGTATATTATACGCAATCACTGAAATCTCGATCTCGGTTATATTAATCGTGCGTTTGCAGAATCGAGGGAGACGAACGGTGGATCGAGCGACGGCAGAACGCCGAACAACGATTTTAGCTCGTGCATCGAAGGCAAGTGTATCAAACGTACCCCACAGGACATCACCAACGCCATGTGGTTCGGTCCGCGTTTAGGGAAACGACACAGGTCGGATGAGAAGCAGGAAGTAAGCCCCGAGATCGAGGTCCTGGCGAATCCATTGAACGGCATGGGTTTGGCAATCATCACGGTTCCTGCAGGTGAGAATCGAGGTGAGAATCAAAATGTTGGAAATTTGGTAGACGTCGTTAATTGATAATTCGAACTTGCACATTATTTTACTCATATAAAACTTTGATCATTCTTTTTTCTTGTTCCGATGAAAATTTTTCTTAGAATTTTTCATGTAATTATTCAGAATTTCTGTACAATTTTATAACTTCTTAGAAAATTTATCAGATTTTCTCATTTGGTAAACTTTTCAGAAATACTGAGAAAATTTTTTCTTGAATTTTTTATTGTATGTGAATTCTGAATCATTTTATAAGATTTCTTATTCCATGATTTCCGAAAAACAAATTCATAAAATCTGAAAAAGTTTAAAATATTTTTTAGAAATCTTTATATAAATTTACAATACAAAAAATTCTGAAAATAATGATAATTTTTCACCATTTACATTTTATCGATATTGTTGACTTTTGCAATAACGTTAAGTTTGCATTTGTATTTCATATAGCGAAATTTTTCAAGCAAAATAAAAAAAACTTTTTCATGACAAAGTTATAGAAATATACGTAACTTTCGATTTATAAACAATTAAAAATAAACGTTTTCAAATAGTTGAAGTTGCCAAGTAACATAATTATCTTCTAGCTGTCATCAATTTTTCATTAACTCTATTCAAACAAAATTTCAATCTTTCCCTTTCATTCTCTTCAAATTCCCCTCATGTAGTCCCCTTCAGAAATTTATTTAGAGAAGCTATTTCATTTAATGTTCTGAATAATTCCATTATCCTTGATATGCTTTGAAATCCATTATATACAACTCGATTCGCGAATTTCAAGAGACTCATTGTAATCATTCAATTTTCTTCACGCTTGTGACCATCGAGAATAAATTTCAGCTAGAAGACAACAAAAAGACGACAAGAAAACAGAAGAAAAACAACAAAAAAAGTTTACATTCATCCCGCGTCCAGGACGAGAATCGAACGAGGATCTATTCTACTTCGGGGATGCGTATGAAGTCGACGAGGATGACCGTCTGTTACCGCCGCAATTCGTACCTCGTTTAGGACGCTGGCTTCCCGGGCCACCGAGACTTGGTCGTCAATTACGCAACGCATTATGGAAACTATAGGCACCATCCGATAAAAGATAGGAGATCATTGTAAAGACAGAGAATAAAGTATGATCTCATAGACTTGCACGATTATGAGGCTCTTGAAAGACAACCCTATTTGTGTATATAAGATATAGAAAAATAAATAAAGTATATTTGTATTGTGAAACCATAATTATATTGTTCTTCTCTTCTTGTGTTTAAAAAATTATAATTATCTTAAAATGTTCTATGTTGTTTATTAAAGAGTCCATGTAATTCGAAAATTGAGCTAAATATGACACAAGCATAAGGCTTAACTATGGACTTAAATATGACGTAAGGCAATAAATATGGCCTTAAATATGGCATAAAGTAATAAAAAAGCTCTTCTTTTTTGTTGTTATTATTACAGTAGAAGATTATTTTATAAACAAAAAATGCAAGAACGCAACAAGGATTAACGAGTAAAAATTTTACATGATATATAAAACTTTATATCCCTCGTTCGCTTACAATAACAACATAATTAAAAAATTGTTATTTTTTAGTTTTTGCTTGCAAAAAAAGATTAAAAACGTAAAGAAAAAAAGAAAGAACTTATTTTTCATCTACAATCAACTATTACACTAAAATTGATTTCAAAATTAAGTATGACAACATTTTAATAATTCAAAGTATACAAACTTATTTTCTGAAACCTTTACTTTTTAAGTTGTATTAGAGCAAATAAACAATGTACATATATAAAACAAAATATTACAATATAAAACAAAATTGATTTTTTGATAAATATGGTAAAATATAAATGGTAAAATATTTTTAAATAAGATATAATATGTATGCAAAATTTCAAATTTGTAATATGTAAAAAGTAATAAGATAGTATTTTTAGATTACAGTACTTATAACTAGTTTATCGGTTGTAAAAACTTTTTAAAAAATTAGAGATTTAAAAATTAAAGTTAAATTTTTTAAATTTGATTTAGTCTTGCAAAAAATTTAAAGAATATCTTTGTTTAATATTTTAAAAATAAACTTTTAATTAAATCGAAAATAAACTTTTTTACAAAAAAGTATATTTCTTTTTTAAAAGCCTACGACATCAAAATGTAACATATTTTTATAGAATTACTCTGCAGAAGAATCAAGAAACAATTATTGAATGGAAGTAATAAATTAATACTACAATTGTCAATTAAAATAATAAAAACTAACGAATACGCAAAATTATTTTCTTGTTTTTACGATCGACATTTCCGACGTGGTATTAACGACAGGTCTAAGAAGAAAATAATACCTATTGCACACGGTTTGTACGAGGATGTACATGGAGGAAGATAGCCGCTATTTTCAGCGTCTCGAGAAGGGTTGAAATCTATCCCTTTCTCTCTCAAGAGGAAGTAGGATAGGGCGGAAGAGAGAAGAGGCAGGGTGCCGAACTTACAGCAGAGTAATTCCTCGACCGGAACTACCGACGAGCCATGTGGCAACGTAGAAGACGATCATAATCGTAAAACAGCAAGCCGGAGCAGATACATACAAGTTAGCTTCTAGTTCCCGCTTTACAACGGTACCATGTATATCGGGGATCGCTCGTAAAACGCGCTCAGAAAAAAAATGCTTTTGATGAGAGCTTCGGAATATTAACGCTGATCGTGGCAACACATTACACTAAATATTCACAGATAAGATGCCCACGAGAAGAGAAATTCTTTGACTAATCTTTAAATTTCTTCAGAAAAATAATCTTCATAAAAATTTAAAACTGATCAAACTGATGGTAAACAAACCATTATTTAATGAAATAAACAGACAATATAAGATCTCGTTCTTAGTTTAACATTCAGTTCGTTATCGAGATGTTTAATATTGCAAGTTAAAAATAAAAAATTAGATTTTTGATAAAAAAAATCTGTTTAAAAAATATTAATAATACTAATATATATTTTAATATTTAATATAACAACAATACATTTATCACAAACAAAATAACGAAGATTTATACTTTTTATGATTAATATTAAAAACATTTTTAGACGTGTAAAACAGTGACAATATAGTAGCATATTCAGTAAATTATATATAATTATCTGTAACCTCGACTTCTAAAAAAAATTTTTAATTTTTAAAAATAGCATCCTTAATACGGTAGAATTATGATTTACGTCATTTACGAAGTAAATGTCTGTCCGTATAATAAAGTAAAATTCGAAGAAAGAGCTTTGACGATCGCACATGCATACGTAAACACGGTAATACTAAATCATCGCAGATAAATAAACAATTGCTCATGCAAAGATCATCCACGTGACGTTGGAGCGCGACGGAAAAAGTGCTGTGGAATTGATATAATTGCAAATATATTTCTGCATTCTGCAAATAATATCTTTCTACAGAAATTTCTGACATTTTTATGTCAAATGTCGCGGTTTTACATTGTATGATAGACGCCCTTAAAGAACGTCAACCATATTGCAGCCTCAAAATTATGTAAGCTTCTTTTACAAAGTGCCCGACATAATTTTGAAGTAAAGCTGAATCATTTCATTTTTTTTATTAAGAAATATAAAAATAAAAAATAGGCTTTACTAGCGCTGGCTAATTTAATTCCATCAACATCAAATACATAATTCTTGTTTTTTCCTGATATTCGAATTCTTGTTTTTATTTTTATTATTTCTATTTTCATAATAAGCTTCAGCTAAATTACATCTTGCTCCTACTTTCTTTAAAATGTACCATCTTACGTATCGTATTATCGTTCGTAAACCAAATGTGCGCAATTTGAGCCTGTGGATTCGTTAACAAGATATAACGTGTTACCTCTCAATTGTTGACTTTTCACAAAGTAGGTCAAATATAGAAAAAATTAATGTGCATATAGTATTTGCTCAAAGATTTAATAGTTTAAAAAATAATAAACAATAAAATTTGATCATCCCACTTGCTTGAAATTTGAGTTTTCAAGTTCGAGTTTTTTTGTTTAATTTTGTATCTTTTTCATTTATATTAAAATTTCTTAATTATTTTTTTTCCTTTTTCTCTTCTCGTTCCATCTTTCTCTCTCAATAAAAAAAATAAAGAATAGATTTTAAAGAAATTTTCTTTTAGAGAAAGAAAACTTATTGTAAATAGTTCTATCAACGTATCGTTTAATAAAAATTAATTTAATAAATTAACATTTATGAAGCAGTTTATTCAATTAATACTATGTAATCAATAATTAAATAAATAATTAAATAATTAATACATTGATTTAATAAATTAATATTAAGCCAAAATTTATTAATATTTTTTAGATATCCATTAATTATTTCACATTTATTCGGGTTAAATTTTCATAGAAAGATAACATTACCAACACCATAAATAAAAAATATAGTCATCCACAATTACGTTTGTTTAGTAATTCGTTTAGAAATATAATTATTTGAATAAATATTAGAAAATATCTTTTGATTATTAATTTTCTGAGCTTGTTATTTTTCGTTTTTGAATAATAAAGAAATCTGTATCGTAGATTTACAATATAATAATAATAGTTTTTATAATATAAGGAAAAATAATTACGAGCTAAAAAGAAAAAAATTAATTAAAAAATTAAACTAAATGCTTCAGTTTGCATGTTATAATACAGTAATATGCTTCATTTAAACTTATTAATAATCGAAAAATATGTAATAATTGAAATAGTGTTTCCTAAACGGAAAGAAACGTTTTGATTGTGGATATCTCATTCTTTATAAGCCCAAATGATAGTGCGAATCCTGTCATCCCTATGGACAAAATCATCTTGCTCACCAAATTAGACTAGCGTCGCCATCTCTTGAAAGCTCAACTTGGCGCCAACTTTTACTTGAAAGCGCAAGAGGTTTGCACCATTGAATTGTACCAAGGTCACAGTTTCACAAAAAAAGTTATTAACTAATTGATATATCAAAACGATCACTTGATTATTTTCGACAATTATTTGTATGTATGTATGGGCGACTCACTTTTTATTATAATTCATGAAAAAAGTGGAGTCAGATGTCTCGATCATTATATACCGACGCGACGCAAAAACAAATATGACGGCTGGCGGCAACGCTACATGTACACATCAAGTTTGAGAGTTTGAAAAAGATTGCATTTCTGTGCATTTCTGTGCATAATTTCAAATATTTGAATTGTGACATTATTCACGCGTCAAATATATATTATACAGTTATATGTCATATAAGTTGATATTACTAATTTGGAGTTCAAGCAAACTGCGAATAATCGTCAATCTTAAAATATAGCTCTAAATTGAATAATATATAATATCACAATTGACAAAGCAATTTGATGCTAATGAGCATCTTTTAAATCCTGTAAAATAATTTATTACGAAAAATATTACCTCAGTCAGGACTTAAACCTCCTGCTCTCCGAGTGAATGTCTTACCGTTCGAGGTATATAATATTTATCATAATAACCAACAAATTTAGAAATAACGTCGTTCACGGCGACATGTAGACGAACTACATAACTGTAGAAATGTTTAAACTAAGATGAGAAAACGTCAAATGTCTTGATGCTTAATATTTTTATATGTGAAAAATATTAAGTCAATAAATATATAAATATAAAGAATAAAGCTATAGAGAAATAAATATATTATAATAAATTTGGATCGTAATTTTGATAAATATATTTCTTCTGATTTAGGAATTTCTTCTTTGCATTTATTTTAAATTTATATTTGCATTCTACAATGTAAATCATGCATTTCTAAAAATATATAATCTTTGTTCCATCAATTTATTCCTTTTTTTTTCACATTTTTCATACGCAAGTTAATTATTAAAAATAACTATTTTATATAAATATACGAATAACAGGAATGTGGTTTGTCCATTCAATATTATTTCCTTGTAAATTATTATGCCGCTGTACATAATGCACCATTTAAATGCATCGTCGAACTCTACTGTTATTTTAAAACTCTGTCGATTTAACCACGAATCTTTTCCAGCAGTAACTTTTCAAGCTTGCGCACATCGACGGCAAATTTGCGAATGCCTTCACACAACTTATCGGTCGCCATTTGATTTTCATTTAAAAGCCATCTAAATTCAGCCTCATCCAGGCTAATCTTTTGAAGATCACACTTCTTCGCCGATTCCACGTTTAGCATTTTGCGTATGGGTTCGTTACTCTCCTCTAATTCTTCCAATAACTTAGGACTTATGGTAAGCAAATCACATCCGGCGAGTTCCTTAATTTCACCTAATTATCAAAACATTTAAATTAAAAGAATAATACTGCATCTAAATAATAATGTTTGTATTATTATTTTGCATCGTAATTTATAATCTACATTTAAATAACTTAGAAAACTATAGAATTATATACATTATATAATACATTATATAAATCAAAATACTTACCGACGTTTCTGAACGAGGCACCCATCACAACCGTCTTATAATCGAACTTCTTATAATAATTGTAGATTTGCGTTACAGAAACGACACCTGGATCCTCTTTTGCTTCATAAGTTTTTTTATCTTCATTTGCCACGTACCTAAGCAAGATTTTTTATTTTTCTCTTATATAAATTTTATTTTACAAAATAACACTCACCAGTCCAGGATTCTACCAACAAACGGCGAAATAAGAGTAACTCCAGCCTCTGCGCAAGCAACAGCCTGAGCAAAGGAGAATAATAACGTAAGATTGCAGTGAATTCCATATTTTTCCTCCAATTCCCTAAAAAAAAGTTTTCGATTATTATTTTTTAATTTTTATTTGTTTATTAATTGAATAAAATGCATATTTTAATTTAGTTTCTTATTTACTTTGCCGCTTGGATGCCTTCCCAGGTCGACGCAAGCTTGATCAGAATGCGTTCCTTGCTTACTCCAAGCCCTTCATACAGAGCAATCAATCTTTTCGCTTTTTCAATACTGGCTTCCTTATTGAAGGACAATCTGGCGTCTACTTCTGTGGAGACTCTCCCGGGAATTATATTTAAGATCTCCTTGCCGAACAAAACACACGTGATATCAAGAGCTGCTTCAACTTGCTCGGCCAAAGTACTGTAAGAGAGAATCGCTACTTTAAATATTTAACTTAAAATACTATAATTATTAATATTAAGGCGATGCCGGAGCAAAAAAGATTATCAATAGTTCTTTAATTTGTTTATTAATCGAATATAAAATGCATATTTTAATTTAGCTTCTTATTTATTATTTCGCCGCTTGAATGACCTCCGAATGAACTCCGTAGTATTGTTGTTTTATTGACGATTTGTATGTACATATGTATGCGATATTGATTGTAGTCAAGGCTAGGCAAAATACATCATTAAAGTATTTAAAATACAAAATATATACAAAATACTGGCAATCTTAGTATTTGAATTACAAAATATAAAATACTTTTAATTTTTCAATTTAAAATACAAATTACAAAATACAAAATACTTCTAAGTTTTTATTTGAAATACAAAATGCTTTTTAATTTAATCTTTCAATTACAATAATATATAATGTTAAACTCTCCCCTCCAACAGTCTCCTCTCCACTTTTAGAGAGAGAAAGAAAAATTGTTTTACTCTCTTACACTCTTTAACAGTCCTATTGTCCTGTATCAACCGCACGAAAAATCTATTTACTATAATGTGAGATTACGAAATTTGACTCTGATTACTTTATATTGCTTGAAATTTGACGAAAATAATTAGTGTCGCTAATTGTCATATGAGAAAAATTTAAGCTACTATTAATTGTTATCAAGAATTTTTATCAATAATTTCTTTAGTATTTCAAATACAAAATAGATCGAAATTGTATTTGAAATACAAAATACATTGAATAACTCTTTTAAAATACAAAATACAAATTGTATTTCAAATACAAGTATTTGAAATATGCCCGGCCCTGATTGTAGTATAGTGTGCATGTTTACATCTATGTTGCACTACATCAATGTTGCACATATACATACAAATGTATTTTCATACAATGTTTTATCTTATATTAAAGCACCTAATAGGCTCATTAATAAAAGTACAGTATTATTCTTTTATGTAATCCTGCGAATAAAGCTTGTTTTATATGTACAAAGAATAAAATTCTTATACCAAGCAAATATTGTTACAAGTTGACGCTAGAAGTCGATAACAAAACTAATTTTCAAAATTTTTTTCATTTTTTATACAAAATCGTTTCATCCGCATTCCATCATTATCTATATTTTAATTCTGGAAAAGAATTTTTCTAGAAATATTATAAGCAATATACATGTACAAAAACATTGTATAACAATCATTACGTTTCGATAAAACAAACAACTTCAATACCGCCTACTTAAATATCTTAATAATCGCAAAAAGACTGAAGAATACTAGATTTAACGATAAGTATATATAATATTATATACCTATACTTAATATATCATATTATAATATAAATTATATATATCTGTAACACTTACGACCCGGACTTTTTGCCGTATTCCGCGGCTTTCTCGATTAAATGGGCATACTTCTTTTGATTAGCGGCAGCGAGAATCAATGAGGGATTTGTCGTTGCGTCTGTGGGCTTAAATTGCTCCATAGCTATGAAAATAATAAAAAAATACTGTTACAAGATTATTACTAATCATCATTTCCAATATTCGCAATATACATATATTATTTTGTTTATTATTACATTCATATCTAAAAATATCTGTCATTTATTCATTAAAAAATTAAATTTGTTCAAACGCTTCCGTTCGATCTGTGTCTCAAGGATAGAAGTGATAAATATAATATGCTACTCTTTAGAGGTCACCGTTCAACAAAGGTCACGGTATTTCATGTATGCACTGATATCTGTTTTATCAGTTGCACAGATAAATCTATTCGTCAAATCAACATCGTTCGATTTTTCGATGTTTCGGTGGATATACGAAATCGCGATGAAAATTTCAAATTCATACGGAATAAATTAAGCTCGTGTATTATAGGTTTAGGTGAGTCAGAAATGTATTATCGTTAATGAAATCATCGTAACATTAATTGCGTTATCATCATTACGACGAAGCGTGATGGTCATCAAACGCGAGGAAAACTTTCTTAATTTACAGATACTGCATCAGTATATGGACACGTGCATTATTAATGGAGTTTCTGTTGATCAAAATCACATCGATATAAACGTGCAAATATACAGGGTGTCTCATTTTAAATGCCTAAGATTTCTCGAAAACTATGCTAGATATACGGAAAAATATTTCAAGCAAAAGTTGTATGATTTCAAGAGGGACGTAATGGATAAGATGGTACCATTGATTTGATCTTGGGTGGCGCTGTCAAGGTCAGGGAAAGGTCACTTCAAATCTTTTAAATGGCACCCCCCCCCCTTTTTATTGCATATTCTTGTAGCTTATCTCGAGAGCTTCTCAAAACACTTAATAAAATGTTTTTCCATTAAGTACTTTTCGAGTAATAAGGCTTGAAAGTTGTAGTACCGCCAGCATTAGCATTATATCCAAGGTGTCCAAACAATGGCTAAAACCTTTTGAATGTTGTTCGGATCATAAGCTAGACAACATATGTCAAGGTCATGATCATTGGAGGTAATTGTTCCTCTTTTTTTCAAAAAATAATAATTTTAAAAAATGAAAATTTTATTATTTGCTTTTGCAACAACCTTTAATGGCCTTGATCTTGACATGTGTTGTTAAAGTCATAAAATCCTGAATAACATTCAAAAGGTTTTAGCCGTTCGGACACCTCGAATAATGCTAATATCTGCAGTTGTATTGTAACTTTCAAGCCTTATAATTCGAAAAGTGCTTAATAAAAAAATATTTTATTATAGTGTTTTGAAAAGCTCTCGAGATAAGCTACAAAGAATCGCAATACAATAAAAAATGGGGAGTTTCATTTAAAAAATTTGAAATGATTTCCCTGATCTTGACAGCGCCACTCAAGGTCAAACCAATGGTAAAATTTTATGTCCCCCTTGAAGTCAAATAACTTTTGTTTGAAACATTTTTTTCGTATCTATCATAGTTTTCGAGAAATCTTAATGGATCATTTAAAATGGGACACCCTATATAGGATATATCGTAAAAATTACATCAATTTTAATACTTAATAATAGTGCCAAAATAATCATTTATAACGCTCATGAGTTAAACAACGGAATCAAAAAAATTTCGACAAATTGTATAATAAAAAACAACATTCAACGATATTTCAACATTCAACAATTTTAAGCAGAATTTAATATTGGAGAGGTGAAATAATTACTTATTATTTTGCATATTAAAAGCATTGATCACAAAACCAGTCTCTAATTATATCATAAAAGTCAATGTCATTATTCGAATAATATTACAGCAAGGTAACGACATTCCAGTAATATTGCAGTAACATGTATTTCAATACAATATTGCTAAAATGCTTTAACTGCTTTATGTTGTATGGAATATATTGTTTTCCTTTTCTTTTTTAAATCGAATTTCGCTCATAATTAAAATAATTGATAATTTCAAAAATAATCTTTTTATTCTTTATTTCGCAATTCTAGACGCAATTTTATATCGATGACATTGAAATGTATACAAGAAGCAGAAGTCATATATCTTCGAAATAAATCAATTAGTAAAAGAAAAAAAGAAAAAAGAAAAACAACTTTATACGTAATATGAGTAATATCATTCATGATCGAGGTCACGTGGGAACGCGCTCGAAAAAAGTGCAAACGCTGCAAGATCTCTCCCCCCCTCTCTTCCTCCCTCACTCGACAACCGCTACTTCCCCGACTTCCCTTCCCGCCGATGTGACTGTCGCGAGTATCTACCGTCGCTCTCCTGACCGAATTCGAATTTCAACGGGGTTTTACCTTGAAAGTCACCGGTGTCGGCGACCACCGTGGTGAAGTCCTTTAGCTGGCTCAACGAACTCATGGTCTTGGTTTTCTTCGACTGATGCTCGCTCATGGTCGCCGTAAGTATTTATGCGTACGAGGAGATGAAAAATTACGATGTCTCACTCACGCGAGCGCTCCGCAAGCACTGATATCTCATCGTAATCGTACGACGGCATCGTCGGACGCGGCGATTGGCTGTTCGATAGAGAGTTTCCAGCGGCCCGCAGGACTCGCATCTCTCGACGCTCAATCAGCACGTTTGAAAAGAGTTAGCTCGTCGAATGGAAATAACGGCCGAATCGAACCTCTTGATGGTAGGCTGACCAACCGCTCGCCAATCGCGCGAAAATAAATTCCACGAAAGCGCGCGCGAATACGAAGCGGTTTTTATACACGGAAACTTTTTTACAGAAATTTTACTTTTATTTTACATAATTTTATTTTACTGAAAGTGTCAAATTATTATATTTATTTTAAATTAAATATTAAAGGCACTGTTTGCTTGTTTTTAGTACTCAAAATACGTAATTATTTGATACTTTAAAGTATTACATTTTTATAAAGAAAATACGTAATTATATTTGACACTTGACAGCATTAAATTTTTATTTAAAAAATTCCATGCTATATATTTATCTTCGTGTTTATGTAAATTAATTATAATTATAATAGCTAACTTAAATTTATATTTTCAAGCTCTTACAGAAATTTATTGATGAAAGTGCCAAATAATTATTTATTTTAAGTATTAAAAACATTGTTTGTGCTTTCAGTACTCAATAATAAGTATAATTATTTGGCACTTTTAGTATAAAATTTCTGTATGGGTTTGAGATAATTAAAATAGAAATTTAAGTTATGATAGCTATTAATTAATATAACAGACTTGCATAAACATGAAAATAAATGATGCGATGCTTTATAAGCATATTATTAATGTAACGGACTTCAAATGATGATAAATTAACAAATTGTATTTAATTATAAAGTATCATAAAATAATTATATAAACTAAAACAAAATAAATATATTGAATGTGACATAAACCTTGATGATAATCCCACTATATTTTAGACTTAATTTTCATATACTAAAGATACATACAAATAAAGTTTTATTTCGTGATTATGTGGCAAATATTTTAAAAATTGGAAGAAACTTATTTTCTGAATAAGAAAAAGTTACTATTTTGTACAGGAAAATTAGCTTTTTTGGAAAAAGAAAATATTGTACAGGAAAATTTTCGTAAAAACTGCATTTATTAAAATCTATTTAAATTAAGTACATAGTGCGAATATAATAACTTACTGGCCTATCAATACATTTTGATCAAATTGGTTTGAAATGTGTCTTTGAAGCTATATAAAAATAAATACAAATAGTGTCATTGTATTTGTAACAAACAGATAGAACTATTACGGTGCGTAATTTTGTTTCAATAGTTCTATTTCGTTCTGCTATTCTTAATTTGTTCATCTTGATTATCACAAGGTGATTCAGAATCAGAGTCGGATATATAAAAACATGATTGCACACTCGTGACTTCTTTATATATACAACGTAACAATTCTCTCGTCTTTTTTACAGAAGACTTACGATCGATTTTACCGATTATTTTTTCAAAAATAGCATTTGCTACATCTCTATAAATATAAACCTTTCGTTCTATTTAAACGCATTAATTGTTAACGCATTTAAATGGTTTCTACTCTTGATAAGTGTTTATTACAAAGTTCACGTATCAATTTAATATTAATTAATACAAATTTGAGAAAAATTTAAGGAGTATTATATTTCGCTGAAAATACTCTCGTATTTTCGCTACTATCAGACCTTCTCAGCGGACGTGTGCTTATCGAGGGACGCTGCAATTTTCGGCTGGTGGCCATATAGGAAAATCGAACAGATGACGAGGAACGCGCCCAAACTAAACTGGAGCGACAAGTGAAAGTCAAACAGATAAACGGAGGCTATGCAGGAGATTATGATGGCCAAAGACGTGGCGAATCCTTTCAATATGTTGTCGGCATATTTGACTACCATGGCCACGATCAATCCACCGCCCGCTTGCAGAGCCACCAGGTAGCAAATGAACAGATCGTAACCAAAGAAAAAGCCCCGTTTACCTATGACAGCACCGTCATGTAAGAAACACGTGCCTAGGCCAAACGGTATGGACAACACGCTCAATTGCACGTTTCGCATCCACACCGAGATGTCGGAGCCTTTGAGAATCTTCTCAAAGTAAATTCCCGCGAAGCCGGACAAGAAACACGCGCTTAAAGCGGCAGAAAAGCCTAACCAGTGGTTTTGCTCGATGCCCGAGGGTAACGGCGCTTTTGCAGTTTGTGCCAACTGCACCAGGACCACTCCAATGACCAAGAGCACAAGAGCACCCCACTGGGTGGTGTGTAGAGATCTACGTAATATCGTCACTGCGAAGAAGGCCGTCGTCAAAATTTTCAACTGATACGTCACCTGAAAAATATATTATTTATTTTAAACATTATATTATAAGGTTTATTATGCAGGATGTTTTGCCCGGACTTTTCGTAGAAATGTTAATATTTTATAAACTAAAATAAGAAAAAAAAAATGTTATATGAACGTAGTAATGTGCCTAAAATGTTTTATTAAAAAATTACAGCAAAAATATACAAGAAAAATTTTGTACTTGCATCTCAAAATACCTATGTTAATTCAAAATTTGCCTATGTTAATATAAATCTGGCATCGTAATATTGAATTTATCACTGACGAAAAGCGGCGTTTTATTAAAAAATTATGGCAAAAATATACAAGAAAAAATTTTGTACTTGCATTTCAAAATACCTATGTTAATATAAATCTGGCATCGTAATATTGAATTTATCACTGACGAAAAGCGGCGTTTTCAATTTTTATAACAATCATACACATGTAGTTATAAAATTCATATATTGTTCGAGAAAGTTTTTCAACGTCAGTTTAATTGTAATGTATGGATGGGTAAGTATAAATTTAGATGAAAAATTTTCTTAAAATTTTTATATTTTTATTCTACCTTTTTTAATGAAGCTAGAATGAATTTAGAATCTACGTTTATATAACATTTTCTTATTTCAGCTCAAAGAACATACTGTTAAAATTTGTATTAAAAATCCAAGAACATGTCTGTATGTTAACTATTATATATTAATATTTATTAATTTACATTGTTATTTCAATTCTGTCACATCCTTTAGAAGAAAACATTTCAGGAACATGTCTTACCTGATGTGTAGCTGCATCCAAATTGGATGCAGAAACGTAAAGTAAATTGTTCTGTATAATATATAGGAGGGATGGCACGCAAACTTTCAAAGTGTCGATAGGTTGTTTCACGATTGTCATATGTAATGCTTTGTAAAATTTCTCAAAGTTTCCCTCTTCGATATATACTAATACTAAGCAGGTAATCAATTTGATTACTTCAGCCATCACAACAGCTGAAAAAGAAAAGTGATACGGTTATCTGTGAATATAATAAGGATTTTCTATTATACTAACATTAAGTTAATGCTATGTTAAGTTATATTAAGTTGTTATATTAAGATTGACTGTACCACATGTAACACAATTTATATTTACCAGTGGAAGAAAGAAACATATCCCCTGCTCGGGTACGCGAATATCGCATGCTAAGGCCAACCATAGCATTTTGAAGTGTGAGAGTAACTAAGCTCACATACTTCAATGTTTGCCCAGTTCCTGTAACACACATACCGTGCTTGCATATACACGCCAGAGTATTATTCATAACTTTTATATAAATAATAAATATACTGACTTTGCGAAGTCTTGTTCATGTTGGTAATAAGATCTTTTCAACTTTTTTTCAAGATAGCTTATAGATATTTTTTTAGAAGCTACATTTTTCCTAAAATCATAAGAAATGTATGTTAATTTTCTATAAAAGTGCATTAAGTTTTTGTTCCCTTACAAAACAATAAGTTTTAACTTTAAAACCATAAACAGAAAAAAGAAAACGTAATACATCTAAATATAGAATATTAATTATCTTCGAACTATAAAAGTAATTAAAAATGTAAAAAAAGTAATGAGAAACGATTATTCACCCACAAAAGATAAACTAATGAGACAGTATAAAGAGTATTTCGCAAGATGCAAATGTCACATGTGTTTCACAATACAGAATGTCATTTTCAATTTGTAATGTAAATTATTAAGAAAAGACAATTGAGATAAAAATAATGTTTTATTATACACTACATTTATTTATGTACACAGATCATATTGACACTTGCATTGACAATCAGCCATGTATAAATTTTGACAAACAAGTTAAAAAATTATGATTGTTATAAGAATCTAACGAAGAATCGTTTAAAGTTATGTGTATAAAATAAGGCAGCTGATTAACTTCAAAATAATCCTTGTTAAAGGACCTGCATACCTATCCCGAGAATTTTTGTACACGTTGAACTGACACGTTGAACATTCATACTTCGTAAGAATGCCTAGTTATTTTCCTATCGACATCGCCGTCGATTGGCCTTGCCTTCGTTGCTTTCTATTTTACTCCTAACCTATCCAAATCATGAAATATAATGAAATAAAATGTAAGTTTTCTTTATTAAAGTAAATTAAGATGCATTCTATATTTATAAAAGGTAACTTAAGCAAGTTATTCTACGAAGATGCCAATAATGTATCTATCGAATGATAACCTTTAACTTCATCAGTTGGGTTTAGAAGACTGAGCAGTGAGCCAGTGGCCTAGTTTACACCGAGCATTTGATACGCGTACTAACTAGAAACTTTCTATTAAATTATCTTAATTTCTACAATGAAAGAATGATGTACTAAGCTGATACACTATGCATT